ACCTTCTGAAGTGATGCGTTTGTCTGAGAAAAATATCCATAGTTAAAACTTTATAAACTGTAATCTCTATCTTCCATTAACTGTTGTATGAGAGTTCATGAGAGTCGCATTTCAGTGGATGATGTAGGACGTAGTGTAAGCTCTGATGAGAAGGGACAAATGCAGAAGCGATCCATAGTTAAAACTTTATAAACTGTAATCTCTATCTTCCATTAACTGTTGTATGAGAGTTCATGAGAGTCGCGTTTCAGTGGATGATGTAGGACGTAGTGTAAGCTCTGATGAGAAGGGACAAATGCAGAAGCACAGAGGAGAGAGCAAAACAAAACACTGGTCATGAATTCGAAGTACAAAACGAGAATTTGTACAGAAAATGTCAGAGGATTTTGATAAGCCTAGCGGAGACTGGTTTTCCTTTGCTGTTCTTGTGAGACTAGCATTTTCTTACCGTAACTCTCTCATGAACGCTCGTACGACAGTTAGTGGTTTTAAATATTAATATTTTTCTTGCACAAACGCATCGCTTCGGTTCAGAAGGCCGTTATTAACCCCTCGGAGCTGTGTGGAGCACTTTTTTATGATGGATTAATGCACTTTTTTTGGGGTTTTAAAATCTCAACCTCCATTCACTGCCATTATAAAGCTTGGAAGAGCCACAACATTTTTAATATAACTCTGATTGCATTCGTCTGAAAGAAGAAATTCATATAAACCTAGGATGACTTGAGGGTGAGTAAATCATGGGGTAATTTTCATTTTTGGGTGAACAATCCTTTTAAGATCACCAAGTCTTCATTTATTTGATCAAAATACAGAAAAAAACTTATTGAATTTATTATTATTATAGACGGAGTAATGGCTGCTGAAAATGTACCTTTTCAATTGTAAAAATTTTGTAACATTATCGTTTTCATAATGCTGTATTTTTGATCAAATAAATTACATTAAGCACAAGACAATCTGAATTATTCCAAACTTTTGACCGCCAATGTTTATAATTTTAGTTTACAACCCCCATTGGATCCATAAGACTCAAAATCATTAATCTGCTCTTGGCAATAAGAGGATTTATATTGTTAATGCATATCTCTGTCCTATCACAGTGCCTGTTATGATGGATGAAGCAATGGAATACCTGGAGAAAAGACAGGTCCACTATTTAATTATGATTTAATGGTTAAGTTCTGTTTTTCTGAGTAAAAGATTTGTGATTATGATTGTTTTATAACATATGTACAAAATATAAAGTATAATATCAATAAAAAAATGTAAGCAAATATAAATATCTGAGTTCACCTGTGAATCCAGAAATGAATTCTTTTGGATACTTCTTCAGACTGGTTGTTTAAGAGTCTGTTTGAGCGTTTCACCACTAGATGACAGTGCTGTAACTTCAGTGACTCTGTTTAACCTAATGTGTCCTCTTGTTGATTTTACAGAAGAAGAATCCATCATTCACCTATGAAGTTATTGTGGTAGATGACGGCAGCAAAGACAAAACTACAGAGGTAATTTTACTTCTTATATGATATATTATAACCAATAATAATGAATAAAATGGTTAATGTGCATGTTTTCTTGTATCCTCAGGTTGCCATGAAATACACAAAGAACTATGGAGCACAGAAAGTGAGAGTTTTGACGTTGGTGAAGAACCGTGGAAAAGGCGGTGCAGTGAGAATGGTAACAATACAAAAACAACCAGTTCTCCTTGTGCATTATCCACATTTCTGATGAAAGACATAACAAAGTTGCTGTTTGCACTCAGCTGGGAATGTGAACAAACTCAATAATTAATCCGTTACATGGCTTGATGCCTGAAGCAGTTTAAGTATGTGCTCAATCTCAGCGAAAAGCCTTATTTTGCACCCACTTAGCTAATGAAATAGTTGAACGTTGTTTCTTATTGTGTTTATCTCTACTCAGGGAACTCTAAGCAGTCGCGGACGCCTCATTCTTATGGCTGATGCAGACGGAGCCACTAAATTTGCTGACATTGAAAAGGTTGAAGAAGGACTTGAGAGCATCAGTGAGAAGCCTGTGAGACTCCACTTTTTGTAAAAAAATTAATAAATAGACAGGCAGCGTATTGCCAATCTCTCATTGGTATGTGGATTAACTATCTCTTTGAAGCTTAGCCAGGAGATACGGTTATCAGATTACCAACAGACCTTTCCTTGCCAAAAGATCTCAGTGCATCTGAAAATATTTTTCTCATGTGTCCATGCAGGATAACATGGCGATCTCCTGTGGATCCAGAGCTCACCTGGAAAAAGAATCAGTGGCTCAGGTAACACTGTTTCTCAAAATACTGGAGCATGACAGAAAATTGCCAATACTTTTGCATTTGCATTCTTCTGTTTCTTCTTGTGGCAGCGGTCTCTGTTCCGAACGTTCCTGATGTTTGGATTCCACTTCCTTGTGTGGTTCTTCTGTGTGAGAGGGATTAAAGACACACAATGTGGTTTTAAGCTCTTCACCCGTGAAGCTGCCTTGAAAACCTTCTCCAGCCTGCATGTGGAACGCTGGTAAGGAGGCTTAAAAGTTGAAGAGCATCTCTGCAAATTTTTCACATGCAGGATCACATTCCAAAAAGCACTTTTTAGATTAAATCAGCTTTTATTTAAAATGTAAATTTTAACATTTAATGGAAATAAATGTTTTTGTCCTTGCAGGGCATTTGATGTGGAACTACTCTTCATTGCTCAGTGTTTTGATATCCCTGTAGTAGAAGTGGCTGTTAACTGGACAGAGATTGAAGGTTTGTGCTGTCAGTTCTGAAATATAATTGCACTTAAAGCGCAGCAGGCAATTAAAACTTTTTTCTAGCAGTATGTGTCACAAAAAAATGAAGGTTATTTCCTCTATGAGGTAATGAAGGCTTGTTTTATTGCACATTTTAGGGTCAAAGTTGGTGCCATTCTGGAGTTGGCTACAGATGGGCCGGGATCTAGTCTTTATCAGGCTGCGTTACCTCACTGGTGCCTGGAGGCTGGAGTCTGAGAGAAAAACTCAGTAGCTGTTGTTACTGCTAGTGTGCTGTTCCTGAGCAAACAGGGGCCAACGGTTGAGCGCACAGCCCATTGCCACCAATGAGTGCACTGTGAATGCAGTCGGTGAACAGCATTAGCATTTTATTATCACTGATCGTGCCATGACCACATAAGGGGAGATGGTCCTTATATTTTTTTATGTAATATTGCTGTTTTCCATATTTTCTTTTACATACTGTATTAGGTTTTGGTTTGAAAAGGGGCAGATGGTTCTTGGCCAAATAAAAAAATATATGTAATCGGTGTTTCAGCATTTACAAGTAATTTGAAATGTTTGCTTGGAAACAGATAAATTATACTTTTTTTCAGATTTTGTGTAATGCAGGGCATCAAAGAATAATTTCTGGTCCTGATTTGCAATTTTATGAGAAATTAAAGTGGTGTGCACTTGAATATTTAAAATCAGTGTCACCCAAATCCATTTGAACTCACTCTTCCTACGCATATAAGGTTAAAAAAAACACAGTTGACCGACTGAAATGGTCCATGGTCTGGCATGTGCTCAAGGCTTTTTAATGTGGTTTACTCAATGGGCTGCTCTGCACCCTGGAGAGAGTATCCTGTTTGTCCTTCCTTTCTCTCCACCAGGAAGGCATTTGTTCTTATTCAGCCCCTGTATCTTGTCAGCCACTCTTAAGAGGGTGTATTTCAATATTTTACATTGATAAATTATTTTTAAGATAAGTGAGTTAAGGAGCTATTGATGTATTGTATTTTCCCCGTCTGCTAAGCCCTAAGTATAGAGCCTCGTCAAGAACGAATATGATCCTGTGCACCTTGATTGAAGAGGATCATTTTGCGGTGCCCTTTTATTGGAAGCGAACTCCCCCTGCCAACTCATTTGATCACAGAGAACACTAAATATGCAAGCTGTCATTATTGGGAGTATTGTTACGTTCCCCTGCAGTTGTTGTAAACTGTGAAAATGTCAAACTTCCAGACTCTCTGTCGCCATCCTGGCTTGCGTCATTAACTGGACAAGTCACTGTACGCACACAAGCGAAGTGTATCCATCCGCGCCGAGGAGCGCACGAAAAGTAGGGCTATCGATAAACGCTTTGGCACTCCGCCAATCTGACAATGAATCCGTTTTCATTTTTACTATGGGATTTTTTTTTTTTGCTTGATCTAATTAATTAGACTTTATTTCCAGTGTCGCATGTTAGCGCTGAAATGAGCAGATTACGAGTTATACGGGATTGACCCCCTAATTAAGACCACTCAAAAAATGGCAAAACAAAAGGTAGGGCGATGTCTTAAACGTATCTTTTTAAAAATATGCAAGTTGATATAACATATGGTTCAAACAGAGTTCACAAACAACGTTTCCGTAGCCGCAAAAGTCAGATTATCCTACAAATTTGTCAGAATGCGCTCCTTTGGGGTAATTTAACCATAGCAACAGCGATTTCTTTGGGATCGATATCTGGTCGTGCATCGACAGAAGCAGTACTTCTGCCACTGTTTATTACTTTTGTTATATATTTACACATAACTCATATATAAAAACGTTATATATATTGATATTGCATTATTTTAAGTGTTTTTAATATTTACATTTAGTCATTTAGCAGACGCTTTTATCCAAAGCGACTTACAAATGAGGACAAAAGATCAAACTGAGATTCCATAAAAACATAAACTGACAGTCATCAGACTACAATTTGTGTTGCACTACCTGAACCTCAATCGATTTTTTTCTTTCAAATTTCTAAGAAATTCTTTTGGAGCGTTTACCATTTGAAAGTCACATTCTAGAAATTTCCGCAAAAAAAAAAAAGTCACGAAAACTTCAACAAATCACTTTCTCTTTACAACCTTGGCCAAAAAGGTGCATCGCTTCATGTGAAAGGGAAGACAGCTGTCCACACTTGTCATCTGACCCCGAAAACAAATTATAAGTGAAACGCCGCTGCCCACAATGACCTGTTTTCTCTCAATAATAGGCCTGTGAGTGAGTCTCGGGCTGCTCTTTTTGAATGGGATGATCCCTGTGCGTGTCTGACGTCCTGGGAGAGTTCCAGGAGCCGCGGATGAATTCCGCACGAAGGCGCTGAGGCTCCAGTCAGACTGACGCCGCGGCGCTCGCTCCATCCAAACACACTCGCTGTACACCTCCAGTCGGCCAGAGATTCGGCGTTCCGCTCTTTCGCGGAATTTCTCCACTACGCAGATTGTTATTCAACTCGTCGCATTAAGGTAAGGAATAAAACACGTATTATTATAGATAATAAGTTTATTTCAGGATTTAAAAATTAAACGTTTTATGAATTATAAGAATAAGTCATGACAAGTGTCTGTTTTATTTTTATTTTTTACTTTTATTAACTTCCTCACGTTAAAACTCGTTGCTTCTTGCGTAAACCCGTATAACACGGTAGGCTGCGTAAACATAGATGTTGTTTGTTATGCCACTTGCTGTTTAAAGATGCTGCTCCACAGAGACGTCTCGTGACAGTTGTTACACCTCGAATAGTTTGATTTAAAAAAGTGCTAAATGTAACATTACAGCATTTCTTAAAGCAAAAAAACAAAACACAGTGAAGTTGATGGAAAGGATGTGTATGCGCGTTCGCGGGGGAGTTAGGTGATTAAGCCTATCTCTGCACTCAGACTGCCAGACGCCAGTTTCATAAGGACACACTGCCTTTGAGAACAGAGCAGATGAATTCACCCGGCCTCAATTGATCTGCCTGCCTGTGCCTATTTGAAACCAAAGCATGATTTCATGCACCGCTGTTAGTCCTGTATGGTTTCATTTTTCTCCTATGGTTATTTGATTTAGTTAGGGGTGTGTTAACACCTCTAGTATTGCATGCACTAATATTTTCAGAAGCTATTATTTGACTAGTCTGGCCAAAGATGGAAGCAAGCATCTCTGGTTTCAAATGCTCAAACGGCATTGATTTTTAGCAGATCGTTTTCTGCATCAGAAAGCTTGGGCAGGAAAGGGAGAGGACGAATAGGTGAGGTCCAGTGAGAAACACAGTAGGACCTGTTGACAGCAATAATAACTCCTCAGCAATATTTCAGAAATCCCAGCAGGCACAGATGCATGATGTTGGGTTCCAGTAAAAGATCTTGAGATCTGCTTAGGAAAATGTTTTACTCCAATAAATTACACCCAAATAGAATGATTCTGACGAAAAGAATATGTCCATGTCACATTTGACCCCCAAAGTCATAAGAAGGAAACAAAAAATATATATTTTGCTTAATATTAATTTAGATTTTGGCATGGTTTGGCATCATTTTTTCATGACAATTGAGCACATTTTTGTCGCTAATTCACAATAACATAATGCAAAAAGTATACATTTTTGTTTTACTAAATACACAAATAACTATAAGTATCTAATTTTCATTTGTGTAATGTAAAAAATTAATTATGTTTGTATTTTTAACTTTCCATTTGTACTGATTTAAAGAATTTATATTTTTAAAGATTAAATAATTTTAAACAATTAAATAATTTAAAAACAATTAATTTATTTAATTCAATTATCAATACATTTTAATTTGATCAATTATTCAATTAATTTTATTAAATTTTAATCATTTTATTAATGCAAATCTGATATGATTCTTTGTTTTTTTCCCACCAGATTAAACAGCTGACCGCCCGACGAAAAAAATCACTGTCAGGGGGTTTATTCTATACCCGCCTGTATCTTGGCAGGGGGTTTATTCTATACCCGCCTGTATCTTGGCTGTAAAGAAATAAACTGAAGCTCCTGGGTTGGAGTGATTTAAAACAGATTTGCCCCAAGCTTTGAGAAAAATCCATCGCATGATGCACTCCACTACATCCATCACGTCCCTCTTCTCCTTCACCAGTCCAGCAGTGAAAAGGCTGCTGGGCTGGAAACAAGGAGACGAGGAGGAAAAGTGGGCAGAAAAGGCTGTGGATTCCCTCGTAAAGAAGCTCAAGAAGAAAAAAGGGGCCATGGAAGAGCTGGAAAAGGCTCTGAGCTGTCCTGGCCAGCCCAGTAAATGCGTTACCATTCCTCGGTCCCTGGACGGAAGGCTCCAGGTGTCCCATCGTAAAGGTCTGCCACATGTTATCTACTGCAGAGTGTGGCGCTGGCCGGATCTTCAGTCCCACCACGAGCTCAAAGCGCTGGACTGCTGCGAGTTTCCTTTCGGCTCCAAGCAAAAGGATATCTGCATCAATCCATATCATTACCGCCGTGTGGAGACGCCAGGTCGAAATCAATACACAAACCACTTATCTTGTTTTTTTTTCTTCTTCATATCGATTATCGCTTCATGCATCTGTAAGTAACTTTTCTTGCTTTTTTTCAAACAGTTCTGCCCCCAGTTCTTGTGCCACGTCACAGTGAGTTCAATCCCCAGCACAGCTTATTGGCAAAGTTCCGAAATGCTTCCCTACACAACGAGACGCCAGGTCGAAATCAATACACAAACCACTTATCTTGTTTTTTTTCTTCTTCATATCGATTATCGCTTCATGCATCTGTAAGTAACTTTTTGTATAACTTTTTGCTTTTTTTCAAACAGTTCTGCCCCCAGTTCTTGTGCCACGTCACAGTGAGTTCAATCCCCAGCACAGCTTATTGGCAAAGTTCCGAAATGCTTCCCTACACAATGAGCCTCTCATGCCCCAGAATGCCACTTACCCAGACTCCTTCCCAGCGATGCCCTGTAGCTCATTCTCTTCATCCCCCTCCAGCTCTTTAAACCAGTCCCCGACTGTGCACAGCTACCCCAACTCCCCCAGCAGTGGGACCGACCCTGGGAGCCCCTACCAAATTACAGGTACAACAAAGGAACAAAGATTTCTCAAGCATTTTATTTGATGACAATCGTCTTGGTCATTCAAAACGTGTTCTCCTTCCACAGCAGAGACGCCTCCACCACCCTACAGTATGATGGAGACCTCTCCATCTGAGGGTGTGAAACCAGGGGAGTCCTCCAATGCCAATAAACTCATTCTGTCAGCCCCACACAGAGGTGAGACACTAGACTAAATATACTTAATGTGCATTGTGTACATTGAAATGTGAAAAAGTTGTGAACACACCTACTCATTTACAGTGTTGTTGTTATTAACTAAAACTGTTACAAATAGTTTTTGTTCATTGAAAGAAAGCGGAAATAAAGTAAAAAGTTAATAATTAGATGAAAATAAACTTCAAATTAAAAACTGAAAACAAAAATGAGAAATATTCACTTGACTAACAACTAACTGAAATTAAAAACAATACACCGAATTATTAAAACTAAAATAAAATGTCAACTAATAGAAATATTTGAAGAATAATGACTAAAATTAATATGAAAAACTGAAAATAAAAAAATAAAAGCGAATTTAAAATATTAATAAATACTAAAATAGTATATAAGTAATACTAAAATAATTCATTTTAGAATAAAACTCATCAAAACTATGAAATAACACTAATGGAAATGAAATATGTAGTGACAAAAATGTTAAGTAATTTTATAAAACATTGAAACTGAGCGAATCGGAATCCACCAAGCTTTAAACAGCCTGAGTATTAAACTGCGAATGACAAAACTGCAGCAAGCACTTATAATAAACAGAATATTATTATTATGCATTGGTGCCGATGCTAATATAGTTACTAGTATTATAGTTCTCTTTATAGTTATTGTTCTTGGTGTTAACGGACCTTAACCTATCCATTTAAAACAAATTAAAGCAATTTGAATTTATTAAAGAAATCTCCATTTATATTTGCATATGTCATATCCAGTGTTGGGGAAAGTTACTTTTAAAAGTAATGCATTACAATAACTAATTATGTTACTTTTTATGGAAAGTAATGCGTTACTTTTGCGTTACTTTTTAAATCTGGACAGGGCTTGCTTGTTTATTCGTTACTTTACTAGTTACTTGGAAAAAAGTAATCTGATTACGTAACTCGCGTTACTTGTAATGAGTTACCCCCAACACTGGTCATATCTCTAAATTTCTAATTTCAATCTTTTAAGCATGAACCAGATGAAAAGTTTATTTTTTTAAATCATGAGAAAAATGAATCCAATCTGGTGTGCCCAAACAATAAAAGTGTAATCATGATAACATTATTTCAAATTAAAATGCATCATGAAAATGGAATGAATCTGAATACTATGAGGTATTATAAATTTTTTTCCCAGACTTGAGGCCGGTGTGTTATGAGGAACCAGAATACTGGTGTTCAGTTGCGTATTATGAACTAAACAACAGGGTGGGCGAGACATTCCATGCCTCTTCCAGAAGCATCCTCGTGGACGGCTTCACAGACCCCTCCAACAACAAGAACCGCTTCTGCCTCGGATTACTATCCAACGTCAACCGAAACTCCACCATTGAACACACTCGCAGACACATAGGCAAAGGTTTGTTGAAAGTTTTAAATTTCTGTTTTTTTTCTTTTCTTTGATGAGGTTTTTGGGATCAAAAATAGACAGAAAACACAGTTGTTCTGAGAAGATCAAGCTGCTGATAATCTTCCATCAGTGGATTCAATTCCAAGAGAAGGTCATTAAAACAACTGAAATCACCACTTGCTAGACACTGTTTAGTGCTGGCCAGTCAACACTGCACTTCAGAAAGCCAGCGAGACAGATAAGAGTCCACATTATCCAAATGTTGGCTTTTCTCAGGGTACTAGATGAGCGTCACTGTGCCAGTGTTGGAAAGACATTAAGTGTTGCCATAGGTTACAGCAGTGACAGGGAAGGGTATGCACACATACACATGCTGGGCACAGATGGACAGAGGCCAAGTTTGAGTTTCATCTACTTGTGTGAGAGAGATCCTGGTGGGAAGAGCGCCAAGGACAACGACACAAACCAGATCAGGATGCTTCAGGAGAATGGAGATTATTAAGGTTTCTGCTTGGAACGTGATAAAACGTGATGAATGCTGGGCTTGGGGATAGTGATTTCTGGGATTTACGAAGTTCAAAGGTGGATATACTGTTTTATGTGTCAACTTTGTGCTTTGTAGAAATTGTTAGATGTTACTTTTATTCTTTTTGTTGACCTGTAAAGCAGTGTTATTTTAGCATTACTTATATACTGTTATACTTCTTTATAAATATTTAAAATTAGCTTTTATTTTTTCAGTTTAAATTTAAATTTTACTTTAATTTGTAATCATTTAATGTGCATTTGATTTTGTGCTTCTTTTTTAATATTATTATAGTATAATAGTATTTTCTTACGAGTTTAATTTACTTTTACTTCCGTCTGAGATTTGAATTTATTTCCACTTAGTAAATTTAGTGCTTCATCTTAATTGTATTTCAATTAGTTGCCAAGACAATATTTAAAATTTTTATCTCTTTGTGCTTTGTAGAAATTGTTAGATGTTACTTTTATTCTTTTTGTTGACCTGTAAAGCAGTGTTATTTTAGCATTACTTATATACTGTTATACTTCTTTATAAATATTTAAAATTAGCTTTTACTTTTTCAGTTTAAATTTAAATTTTACTTTAATTTGTAATCATTTAATGTGCATTTGATTTTGTGCTTCTTTTTTAATATTACTATTTAAGTTTTAAATATTTGTATTTTCTTACGAGTTTAATTTACTTTTACTTCCGTCTGAGATTTGAATTTATTTCCACTTAGTAAATTTAGTGCTTCAGCTTAATTGTATTTCAATTAGTTGCCAAGACAATATTTCTAATTTTTATCTTTTTTTCCAATTTTATTTAAATTAACAAAAATGTTTTTAATAGTTTTCATTATAGTTAACAATAATAACCCTGCTAAATGTGTCTTAAATGCTAATGGTATCTCTCTATATTGAAAATCCTAAATCTGACTTTCTTGTTTTCAAGAAAATGGCATTATTATGGAAACTAAATATATAAGAATAAGCAAAATGCACTGTTGTATAATTTATAAACTCATAAAAGTTACTGGTTACATACTAGAATGGAATGAGAATGAACACAAGTTTACAAAAAGAATGAAAAAAAATGTAAAATAACTTATTGACTATTAGTTAAGTGATGCCAGTGGATCTAGAAAGCTCATTTAGAAAAAGAACAGTTGGAACAATTTGATCAGTTTTTGGAATACAATTAATAAGTGAGTTAAAAGTACATTTTGATTTCATTTTCATGACTTTAAATGATAAATGTGCAATTATTAACCCATTTTTGAAGTCTTCTTCTTTTGTTTTAGGTGTGCACTTGTATTACATCGGAGGAGAGGTGTACGCAGAGTGTCTGAGTGACAGCAGTATTTTCGTACAGAGTCGGAACTGTAACCACCAGCACGGTTTCCATCCCACCACCGTCTGCAAGATCCCGAGTGGATGCAGCCTGAAGATCTTCAACAACCAGCTGTTTGCCCAGCTGCTGTCACAGTCAGTCAATCACGGCTTCGAGGTGGTGTATGAACTTACCAAGATGTGCACCATCAGGATGAGCTTTGTCAAGGTAAAGAGGTTTATATAGAATATATAGAAGAGCGACTAATAACGTGTCATGTTAACACCCTGGCAGCCACCTAGAACAGCATAGCAACACCCTGCCTACCACCAGCAGAAGAGCCAACTCATTAGTCACTAGTCAAATCTGCACTGGGAATAAAATTACACTGGTTCTAATGTATGCTTCTGATTCACTTGAAATAACTGAATCATTAGAGTCTTTCCTTTGGGAATCAGTCTACACTGGTTGTCCTAGATGCATTTGATTCACCTAGAAGAACCGGCTCATAAGAGTCATTTGTTCGGAAATCAGACTACACTGGTTGCACTGTATGCTTTTGATTCGCTATCGCAAATTCAGAAAGGTCATCAACGTCATTCACAAGCTAACAGCTCTTGAGGTGCTTAGCACTTCCAAACCGAAAATCTATGTGTTGCTATGCAAACTTAATATGTAGTTATTCTAATCTCTGGCTTGCTGTTTTATGGATGTTGCTCTGCCAAAACACACTGCAGATCCCATTGCTCTAGAGACTGATACGACACATACCATTTTCCCTGCTTGATTTATATGAATCCAGACAAAAAAACACAATAAATTGATTGTGTTAATTTCTAAGCTAAAATATTAATTAAACGCAAGGTTTGGGGAAACAAGTTTGCAATTATTTTTGTAAATCCTTTAGGTGCTGCTGGTCAATTGGAAATTAAATATTTTTGTTGATTTGCTTTTAAAACCTGCTTGCTGCTTTAGAAGTTGTATAAACACGCCCAAGTATTGAGAATGAAATCTGTCCTCTTCCCAGGGCTGGGGAGCCGAGTACCACCGTCAGGATGTCACCAGCACCCCCTGCTGGATAGAAATCCACCTGAATGGGCCCCTGCAGTGGCTAGACAAAGTTCTGACCCAGATGGGCTCCCCACACAATCCTATTTCCTCTGTGTCCTAATGCATTACAGAACAAGGGGAATATAGTTCTCTAATAGACTTTTATAGCACCCCATAATGCTCTTTCTCTTGTGAAAATATGTCTTTTCAGTGGATGTTTATTGTACTACATATATGTACAATATCATGCTGTTAAGTAAGCAGTAGATCAGTGTTGCAATGATTTTAATAAAGAAAAAACACTACTACTTCACAGTATGTAGTAGCTGAGATCAATTCAGACAGAAACTCTCCAATAGGAAGCCAAAGAAATGTGTTAGGCAGGTACTTGTTCTGGAAATGGTTTATTTGTGTCATATTTTGGCTAATATGTGTCTTCTATAACATTTCATGTTGTTTTGCATTTGCGTTAGCTTTCTTGTTCTTGTAATACAAAAAACTCCCTTCTATTTCTGCCTGTTTATTTTCTGACCTGAAAAATCCTTAAGTATTAATGCTTTTAAAGCTGAAAACTGCACAAGATCAATAAAACTTCATTGGAACGCCCTCAGCAACTTACTGAGTTTACACCATGTTTAAAATAATAATAAAGCTGATGAACAATTCTGTTTGTGTGATGTTACTTTCAGCTACACGGTCAAGATGTGGCAAAAAAGGTGAAACTAAACTGTAGCTTTCACTGGTGACATTATTACAGATAGGATTGATCACTAAATATTCTTTTGATAACAGCTGCCATTTCATATTTTCTATCAATAATTAAAAAATCCAAAAAGACACTACATGTGGCCGAACAGGGTGCTTATTCAAATGGATTGTTGATATATATATAGTAGATTTAGCTGCTAATTCATTTCATGATCTCAAAGAGATTGATGATGACAGAAGTACTTCAGATCAATCAGATCCTTGTCAAATATCCAAGTTCTCAGAATGCAGTGTTGATAGTCTCCTCACCATCAAGGATGGCTGTAGGTCACAGATGCTAATGGTTCTCACATGAGTATAGAATACTGCCGTTGTAAAAATGTCATTGAAAATGTGGCTGCATTAAATCATCAACAGGATGAGTAAAACATCTTCAGTAGTTGTGCTGTGTTTGAGCTCGATTCTGTGTGGTCAGTAAACGCTGCTGCTGCTGCTGAAGGAAACTGATGACTTCTGGACTCCTCAGCAGAGACTGAAACCCAAAAACAACAACATGAGCTGATGGTAAGTCACCTTGCTATGAAATAATACTGGGCTAATATGAATATTAATGGCATTCATATTACAAATAAAAGACACATATGACATTTTGAAATTATATAAAATTCACTAACCCAATGAAACAAAGTACAGCTGACAAATAATCAGTCAATCAATACACACACACACTCACACACACATATATATACACGCATACATATTTATGCATATGTGGGATCCTGGGGATGCATATTTAAAATCTGAAAAACTAATGAACTTTCAAAAAAAGGTATTTATTTATATAGCTTTATTTTGCATTGCATATAATATAAAATTTTTGTGATTTTTTTGTTGTCCATAATGCCTTGTATAACATATGTATGACAGATTGATTTATAAAAAGAAAAACTTAATTCAAATTCCATCTTCACATGACTACATGAATTATGAATTAACTACTCTAATAACCACACACCTCGGCACATTATCATTAACTAAAACGAATACTATTAAAAATGTTTGTTAATTGAAATAAAACTGAAATAAAGGAACACAGATATTAGATGAAAAACTTAAAACGATGAAAGTATTTTTGTCAGTAATTAGTAAATGTGGCCTTGGTAATTAAATTAAGTAGGTTTAAGTACTAAAATTGCTAACTGGAAATAAATAAAAGGTACAACTTTAAAATAAGATTTAATTTGCTAACATTAACTATATTAGTTAACATGAATAACATTTATATAGCATTTATTAATCTTAGTTCATATTGAGTTCAAAACTTACTAATATTATTAACATTTAGAATTTGTATCTGTTAACATTAGTTAATATACTGTGAACTAACATGAACATTTATATAACAACTAGCATTAACAAAGATTAATAAATGCTTAATTAATAAACGGTTAATACATTTACTTAGCAAATGAGACCTTATTTAAAAGTGTTACCAAATCAAATTTTAATTTAAACATTAAATAAAAATTAAACATAAGAAAAAATATATAAGAAATTACAAAAACGCATAATTAAAATTGAATCTCAAACTACAAAATATAAAAACAATTCAAAAACTATTATAGTAAACTGTCTTCAACACTTCCCTGCACCCATGACATTCAGTCAATAGGGAGTATATGACTAAAACTAATGATTACTATATTACAAAAAAGTGTTTAATGCTCTTACCAGTCTCTTCTGGTTCAGCACCTGCTCGATGAGGGACGGTCTGGCGGGTCTGTCTCCTATGGTACCCAGCCGTTGCTTAGTAACAGATACAGGCCTCTCCTCCGAACTCTCCTTCACATCACGAACAAATAAAAGTATTTGAATCAAGCCTAGAAAGTTGGGATAAAAAAGAATTGAATGCATCAACTGAAGCTGTCATTTATCCCAAATGAGCATTTCTTACGTCTAGTTTTCCCGACGACATGGCCTGGTCGCTTTTCTTTTTCTTGTACTTGTCCTTGTACATTTTATTCCGGTGTTTTTTGCACATCCAGGGCTTCCTGGCTTTGGCCACCTGCGTCGTGGTCTCGGTGCAGCCGTCATAGATGCAGGTCTTGGGCACGTTCTCGCTCTCTCCGGACGTCTCGTCGTCGTTGAGCTCCTCCGGACTGACCGCGCCGTCTCTCGCCTCCGGCGCGTCGCTCTCTTCGCCCGGATCTTCCGCGTCGTACGGGAAGCTCTCCTGGTCCTGGTCGTTGCTGTCCGCGGCTGCCGAGGTTTGGCCGTCTTTACCCGTGTTCGCTAAACTAAGATGAACGTTGTCGCTCATTTTGTCTGTTTAGAGTAAAACCCAAAATGCCCACCTGTCATCCGACCTTTATGAACGGACTGACCAGACTGGCCTTTTTTGTGAACTCGGCACAGAACAAATTATTGTTAAGCTGATTTTATATGACTGTCATTAAAAATGCCCCATTTTTTAATAAAAGTAACCCAATAGAAAAATATGAGGAGTGAATATGTGAAGGACTCCTATCACGACAAAAACAAAACAGCGATGGCCGCTGCAGAAAGACAGACTCGCCTGTGTGATCAAATGGACGTTGCGCCCTCTAGCGGTGCAGATACTTCAATACACTGGACTAAAACTACATTTCCACGGCGACTCTGAAATATATGAACTTGAAAACTAAACATCAGATTAAATGACAAATGAGAGCACAAAAAACTGTCAACACCTTCCACTCCGTTTATGGCGCAGTGTACAGGGCATTGACAACGCTGACCCACTAACTAGAATCCAGCGTCGCTAAAGCCTCGGAATCAGATCGATCATGTATCAAGTCAAGTTACTGTTACATTCAGCATACGTGCCTAAGAACCAATGATCCACCTCCCCCAGCACATAACTGCTGAGTTCACGAAACCTTGCAGCTCTAGTTTCTTCCCAACAGCTGTTAGGCAGCTCAATTAACTACTTTATGGCCCCCTGACTTCATTATTTATAAATTATCTGTGTTGGATCTCAGATTGCTGTATTGTTTATTGCAGACTGTATTGCGCATATTGTATTCTATCATCCATTTGAGAATAGTATCTATTAAATAAGTAGGCTAGATAAGACAAATATCTAAATATATCAAATAGTTCAATTGTGTTATGGAAGCCCGCAAGGACAAAATGCTTTGGCAAATCATAATCTGACAGAAAATGTCACAATTATGTGATAAAAGTCAAAATTATGACAAACTGAATTGAAATTATGAGATAAAATAACATGGTCAAATTTTTGTCATCATGTTTTTTTATTTCAACTTTTCCCCCCAAAATGACTTAGTATGTCATAATTTTGATTTTTTATCTATATATTTTTTGACTTTTGTCATAATTTCATCTTTTTATGTCATGACATTTCAGCTTTTTATCTTGTAATTATTTCACAGTATCTCATAATTTTATGATTCTTATCTCATTATCTCATACTTGTGACTTTTATATCATAATTATGATTTACCGAAAAATCTGCATAAATGTCAACAATTCTGTGTTTTTCTGTCAATATGGGGTGCTGTGTGTACATTAATGAGGAAAAAAAATTAACTTAAATGATTTTAGCAAATGGCTGCAATATAACAAAGAGTGAAAAATTTAAGGGGGTCTGAATACTTTCCGTACCCACTGTATATATATATTTTTTTTTTCTTTCTTTTTTTCATATATATAAAAGTATTGGTTTTAAATTATATTACATTATTTTGATTTACAAATTACAGAAAGTATTTGGAAATGTTTTCTCGTTGTCGAACATTATTGGATCCTGTCCGTAGTTGAGCTGTGTGAACCTAAGTGAAACTGGCTTTATAAAAATCACCTTAACACTTAAGTACATGCAAAAGTGAGTTTTAAACAATAAATCTATTATGATCTGTTTGCTATATTTTATTTATATTGCAATGGAATTCATGCATTTATAAGTGTACCTGAAGTATTTAAATAGTTTTGGGGGGCCACTGCATGCTGTTCCTTTTCATTATAGCACCACACATTTTTACTGCTTTTTTTTTGCTTGGTAAAGTGATTATTATTATGCATATTTTATGAGCAAATCAGATTTTATTCAAGGCTTCCAAGGGATGACATGTTGTATTCTTGATGTTTTAAAGTATATTCTTGAATGAAAATGTCGTCATATTGTCAAATATCATTTTCATTATGACAGAGTCAGCATGACAGTTTTTCTATTTCTATTTATGTACATAATGTGATTGATATACACAAGTCATTAATAGGCCTATTTTTCCTAAATCATACAAAGCCTTCATGACAATGCTTCAGTACAGTCTATTTCAATACAAGATCTGCTGCGGTTTATTTATTTGAAGTAATACACGGTTGGTGGAATTATTTACTCTGAATAATGTTAATGAAAATGACACTGATAATAATGATAAATATTTAAAGTACTTGCTAAAATATTTCTAAACTTGCAGAATGTCAGTACATTGAGACATGTGTAATCGATCTGTCTTTCTCAGCTGTCAGGACAGCGATGACACTGTTGATCTCTGTGAGGAGCCAAAAATAAAAATTCTGTCATCATTCACTCACGCTCAAGTTGTTCCAAACCGGCATGGATTTCTTTCCTCTGTTGACCACAAAAGAAGATATTTTGAAGAATGTGAGTAGCCAAACACTTTCTGGTCCCCACTGATTTCATAGTATTTTTTCCATTACAATAGAAGGCAATGGGGACCAACAACTGTTTAGTTACCCATATTCTTCAAAATGTCTTCTTTTATATTCAACAGAACAAAGAAACTCATACAAGTTTGGAAATACTTAAGGTTTATTTTTGGGTGAACTTTCCCTCTAACTAAATTTAAAAAAACGAGACCCTATTGTAAACCAATTGTAAACCAAATAAATTTTACGAGTTGCAATATTGCAGATTCTTGCGATGTTCAGAATTTGTTTTCGAGAACCCTGAAAATTGTCCACAGATGTGCGGACAAAACAAGTATTTTTAGTCTGCGGTTCACCTCACAACACAAAATGTGCTATTTGTTTGTTCGCCGGCATATTTCAGTTCCCTAAGATTCATTGTGTGTGACTACAGTCGTCTGAGCCACAGCGGGCCCTGAGAGCCTGTGATTAGAGTCTCATAAAGGGTCATGATTTATGACCACTTCCCCCAAAAATAAAAATTCTGTCATCATTCACTCACGCTCAAGTTGTTCCAAACCGGCATGGATTTCTTTCCTCTGTTGACCACAAAAGAAGATATTTTGAAGAATGTGAGTAGCCAAACACTTTCTGGTCCCCACTGATTTCATAGTATTTTTTCCATTACAATAGAAGGCAATGGGGACCAACAACTGTTTAGTTACCCATATTCTTCAAAATGTCTTCTTTAATATTCAACAGAACAAAGAAACTCATACAAGTTTGGAAATACTTAAGGTTTATTTTTGGGTGAACTTTCCCTCTAACTAAATTTTAAAAAATGAGACCCTATTGTAAACCAATTGTAAACCAAATAAATTTTACGAGTTGCAATATTGCAGATTCTTGCGATGTTCAGATTTTGTTTTCGAGAACCCTGAAAATTGTCCACAGATGTGCGGACAAAACAAGTATTTTTAGTGTGCGGTTCACCTCACAACACAAAATGTGCTATTTGTTTGTTCGCCGGCATATTTCAGTTCCCTAAGATTCATTGTGTGTGACTACAGTCGTCTGAGCCACAGCGGGCCCTGAGAGCCTGTGGTTAGAGTCTCATAAAGGGTCATGATTTATGACCACTTCCTTTTTTTTTCTGAGATGTGTTCGTCTGCAGAGACAGCAACAAACGAGAAATCACACTTATTTTCCTGGACGGTTCCTCAGTCAACTTTAATGTTCCCCCCACCAGCTTTTCAATATATGAGTGAGATGAGAATCCCTGCGGCAATATAAATCATTCGATCCTTCTTGTGGTTTGCCTGCAATTCCAGGAGAAGTTCAGCGGGTCATTACGGTGTGCGGCTCTAATCTGTGTTTATGGATTTCGTTTAGGGAAGCTTGTGGAAGGAGAATGTGGCTATTAAGAAAATGACTCAAACATAAAGCTCCACAGAGGATGTCAGTAAACGAGGGGAGTGGGGGATTGCGAAATACAGAGGGATGGAGAAGAAGAGATTTGAGACTGACTGGAATACCTGATGACTGTCAAAGCAAATACATCTTTTTTATCACTTACCATGTGATAATTTCAATTATGTGCATTAAATGACACATTTAAGCCCGTTTGAATATTTAAGAACAGTTTAGTTTTAACATTCAAATTGAAAACATCAACTAAGTAAATTCGGATAAATACAGTAGAAATACTGACCTTTTTGATGCAAAAAAAGAATAGTCGGCACTAAATCACACAGCTATCCGTCGTGCTCATCTCGTGCTCCCGGAGTGAATTCCTCATGGGATTCCTTAAGCTATAGCGCACGCTGAAATAGATGCCACTTGTGTTTATACTGAGAGAGGAAGCAGCGCATCTGAATGCGTTCGAGCTGAATCTCAACAGTGGGCTGGATATCGACTGTCCAGCTGTTGTACTCTGAATTCCCCCTCCCTCTCCGTTTCATTCCAATCATCTCTCTCCCTTTGTCATTCCCCCTCTCATCTCATTGACGTCTTCTCGGTTTCTTTAGCAGCTGATTTATGTTTCAATTAAAGACAAAAAGGAGGTCTTGCATAACTCACAAAAGATGATACCATCGTTCTTGCTTTAATTGCTGTAATTTGGATTTGATTATCTTAGGGATATTACTCAGCTCAGCAGCTCTGACTCTAGATGACAGGCTTCGCCCAGGCAGGGTCTGTCGTGTCTTCTCCCATGGTGCCGTGCTCAGTCATTCATATCTGTCAGAACTAATCACCGCTCTCATCAACACCATGAGCCGAAAGGCCTCTCATGTAGCCGTCTTTGTGGCGTCACTCTCAGATGTAATGAACACTCAATAATATGTCATACATTGTACAAAAGGGCTATTTTGCTTTGTAAATGAAGCGTGAGGATTTTTGTTCAATTTAGCCAGGCATAATCTTGTTTTACACAAATAAAGGTTTGAAAAGGTTCCATTATTTACAAACAAAGGTTCCAAAATGGGATTTCACAGTAATGCCATACACTCCTAAAATAAAGCTTCTTTATTGCATGATTCCATGAAGTACTTTTAATATCTATGGAACCTTTCAATTCCAATTCTTTATAGTGGATAATGGTTCTTCTGAGTTTAAAATGTTCTTCACACTAAGAAATATATATATTTTTAAGAACTGTTCACTGAAAGGTGTTTTGGGGAACCCATAGTAGTGTGGTATCGCTGTAAAAAAAAATCTTTAAGAGTGTAGAAGAAACATTTTTAGTCAACAAAAAAACCTTTGCATGAATAGTTCTTAAAAGAACTATTTTTCTTAGTGTGAAGAGCATTTAAAAATCAAAGGAACCCTTTTTCCACTATAAAGAATCTTTTGTGGAATGGAAGGGTTCCATAGAATGTTAAAGTTAAAGATGCCAATAAAGAACCTTTAGTTTTAAGAGTCTATGTCAGTCAGATGTCACATTTGAACATATTCTTCAGATGGCAGAGAAAAATTGAGTATGAAAAATGAAAAGAAGTACTGGCCGTTTCTGATTTTATCATCAAAACATTTTTTTAAAAATAGCTCAGTGATGTCTGTTTCTGATAAAATCTCTTTGTTATCTCAGTAACCGAATTTGTGACACGTCTGTCTGTCTGCAGAGAGTCTGGAGCGGACTGGCATATGGATGGAGCTTCGGATGCAAGCGGTGGGGCAGAGCTATGCATGTCAATAGGACCGAGGCGTCATGCCTCCTGGGAAGGTCTTATCTCTTCTGCTCTGTGCACTGAAGACACGGAACACAGATTATGGATCGACGCAAAGCAAAGCATGA